CTTTCCAAGCGTTTGTTCAACCTGCCGCAGGAGTGAGCGTGGCCAGCTCGACGGGGTACATCCTGGTGGAGGAAAAAGCGCTCGGGCCCGCGGCCTTTTTTTTTTCAGTGCCGAGCGGGCACTTAGGAGTGCCGAGCGGGCACTTAGGTAAACGTGCCGAGCGGGCACTCTAGATTAGGAGTAGGCAGTGCCGAGCGGGCACTTTAGGTTAGGAGTGCCGAGCGGGCACAGTGCCGAGCGGGCACTTTAGGGGTAGGAGTGCCGAGCGGGCACGGTGCCGAGCGGGCACGTAGGATAGTACGGGTTCGCCCAACGGCACTTAGTACGGGCTCGCCCAACGGCACTTAGTACGAGTTCGCCCAACGACCCATAGTACTGACTTGCCCAACGGCCCTTAGTACGGACTTGCCCAACGGCCCTTAGTACTGACTTGCCCAACGGCCCTTAGTACTCGCTCGCCCAACGGCCCTTCGTAGTACTGACTCGCCCAACGGCCCTTAGTACTGACTTGCCCAACGACCCATAGTACTGGTTCGCCCAACCTCGGATCGGAACTTGCCGACGGATGCGATTTTTCCTCCGGATTTTTGGGGCTTCATCCCTCGGACCCCAGGCTGACCACAACCAGCCGAGGACTGAGAGGGCTGAGTCAATCCTGGGAAAAGGGGGTGAGACACCTGAGACACCTGAGACAGCCACTAAACGTCGAATAGGAGTGTCTCAGGCGTGTCTCAGACCTGTCCCGGTAATAACAAGGCAGCCAGCATAAGATTGAGACACCCTTTAGGCTGACCACAACCAGCCGAGGACTGAGAGGGCTGAGTCAATCCTGGGAAAAGGGGGCGAGACACCTGAGACACAGCCACTAAACGTCGAACTCAGGCGTGTAATAACAAGGCAGCCAGCGTAAGGTTGAGACACCTGCTCGTGGTTTGGTGGATGTCTCAATCTTCAAATGGCTGTCTTGTTATTGCTGAGACAGGTCTGAGACACGCCTGAGATCCCATTCTTGTCCAACTTTTGGGTTCTTGTTCACATTGTTCCCAATCTTGTCCCACTTTTGAGTTCTTGTTCCCACTTTGTTCCCATTCTTGTCCTACTTTTGGTTTCTTGTTTCCAACTTTGTTCCCATTCTTGTCCCACTTTTGGGTTCTTGTTCCTAGTTTGTTCCCATTCTTGTCCCACTTTTGGGTTCTTGTTCCCACTTTGTTCCCATTCTTGTCCCACTTTTGGGTTCTTGTTCCCACTTTGTTCCCATGCTTCCCACTTTGTTCCCATTCTTGCCCCACTTTTGTGTTCTCTCTTCCTACTTTGTTCCCATTGTTGTCCCACTTTCGGGTTTTTGTTCCCACTTTGTTCCCATTCTTGTCCCACTTTTAAGGTTCTTCTTCCCACTTTGTTCCCATTCTTGTCCCACTTTTGGGAAGAAATCCCACTTTTGGGTTCTTGTTCCCACTTTGTTCCCATTCTTGTCTCAGGTTCTTGATCCCGCTTTGTTCCCATTCTGTTCCTGTTCTTGTCTCACTTTGGGGTTCTTGTTCCAACTTTGTTCCCATTCTTGCCTCACTTTTGGGTTCTTGCTTCTAATTTGTCCCACTTTTGGGTTCTTGTTCCCACTTTGTTCCTATTCTTGTCCCACTTTTGCGTTCTTCTTCCTACTTTGTTCCCATTCTTGTCCCACTTTCAGGTCTTGTCCGACTTTGATCTTCTTCTTCCCACTTTGTTCCCATTCTTGTCCTGCTTTTAGGTTCTTGTTCCCACTTTATTCCTATTCTTGTCCCGCTTTTGGGTTCTTGCTTCTAATTTGTTCCCATTCTTGTCCCACTTTTGGGTTCTTGTTTCCCACTTTGTTCCCACTCTTGTCCCACTTTTGGGTTTTTCTTCCGACTTTGTTGCCGTTCTTGTCCCACTTTTGGGTTCTCGTTTCCACTTTGTTCCCACTTTGGTCCCATTCTTGTCCCACTTTGGGGTTCTTGTTCCGACTTTGCCCCCAGTTTGTTCCCATTTTTGTCCCACTTTGGGGTTCATGTTCCCACTTTGTTCCCATTCTTGTCCGGCTTTTTGTGTTCTTGTTCCCACTTTTGGCCCGTTCTTGTTCACTTTTGGGCGCTTGTTCCCAGTTTGTTCCCATTCTTGTCCCACTTTTGGGTTCTTGTTTCCCACTTGTGCCCACTTTGTTCCAATTTTTCTTCCACTTTTGGTTTCTTGTTCCCACTTTGTTCCCACTTCTTGTTACACTTTGTTCCCATTCTTGTCCTACTTTTGTGTTCTTGCCACTTTGTTCCCACTTTGCTCCCATTCTTGTCCCTCTTTCTGCCCATTCTTGTCCCATGTCTAGGTTCTTGTTTCCACTTTGTTCCCATTTTTGTCCCACTTTTGGGTTCTTGTTCCCACTTGGTCCCCTTTGTTCCCATGCTTGTCCCACTTTGGGGTTCTTGTTTCCACTTTGCCCATTCTTGTCCCACTTCTGGGTTCTTGTTCCCTCTTTGTTCCCAAACCCTGTCCTCTTCCATGACAAGGCTGATGCTCAATTGCCAGAGCCCACCTACAATTCTGCTTCCGCGCGGTTGACAAAGCCTCCCAAGACCTCACATGAATCTTGCCCAGATGTCAGTAATCCTTCCCGCTTGCTTTTTCATGCAAGTTTTATAAGCGACTTGTTTCGAATTCAAAGAGGGCTTGACTAAACCTTTTTTATGGACTATAGAAACGACGCTTGCATCTACGCTCACTATTGCCGGCCATTTGAGTATCTCAAATATATGTGACTGGTGGGGTCAGTCTTTTCCCTGCTGGAAGGGCATCCTGATAAATAGAAATCTGTCAATCAAATCATTTCAGTCTTCTGGCTCTTTGGTTTGTTTGCACGGTTAATTTCAATGTTGTTGAACAATGTTTCTGCCTTGTTTTCTTCGATTTTCCGTCCACAACTAGTTGAGGTGTTTTATCTTCCCAAATACGTGTTTCAACACCGTCGATTGTGTGCTATCTCTCAACATATTGGTTTGAACTCACTTTGTTTCTCAAAATTGTCCATGCATTTTCTTTAGGAATCTTTGAGACAGAAATATGTCTCAAAACATATTCCACATTGCTATTGCAATATGGATTTCAACAAACCATTTCACAGTAACTACAGTCATGGGCGACAAAAAAAGCATAAGCCTAAACATGCTCGGGAACCCAAAGCAAAGAAAAGGGAAGCGCAAAGAAACACTACCAAGGGGAAAGAACATGTTAGAGGAAAATACAACTGATGAACTCAGAAGAGAAACCGCTTGCCCCAGTATACATGAGAAGGATATCAATGAAGCATAAGTCACTGTAGCAAAAAGAAGCATATGACGCCAAAGTGCAGTCGTTTTCTTCATTTTATGCTTGTCAGATTTGGCTGTCAGGTAAATACTTACCATCACGGCCAGACCAGGTTTCCTAAAAGGTCCTTCCGTAAGGGAAACAATAAAGAACAACGGTTAGAGATTTGGATTCCAATCAGGGGATCCATGAGGAGTTTTTGTAAGGAGTTCCACAGGGCTTCGCCGCTGAGTGGATCACATTGCGCAGTAAAAATTTCTTCTAAGGCGTCTCTGAAAGACATGGCATCTGCGTGGAGAGAAGAAAACTGAACCCCAAAAGGACTCTAGTAATGGCAATGTATGTATACATCATCAAAACTTCACGACACAGCACATTAGCGCAAAGAACGACACAACATAGGGCTGAAATAAGGGCAAAACAAACAACACTACAAACTATATTGAGCAATGAACGAAATAGGTAGATATGCCTTTAGCATTGAATTCATGGAGAACTACACCAGTCCTTTGGAAGAGAAGGTGAAACGATGAGAGAATTGCAGCATTGTCGGTTGTCTTTCAACTTGGAAGGTTTCCTCGGGAAATAGGTAAATCAACTGTAAGAAGGGGAGCGAATCTTTTTACATACATAAGCTTGATGGATACTATACCCTCTATAAGACGGAGTGGGTGGCAATGATTATGATTATTGGTGAACGTCTTGAACACAAAACAGCAAACTGGGGGCACTTGGCTACCGATCCTTTCGGTGGATACCAAGGAGAAAAGTTGCAATTGTTGGTCAGTTACTGTCAATATACCATAGAAAGAACCTACTACAAGAATCAATTAGGACAAACCCACTCCAAAGTGAATAATATTGCAAAGCTATTCTTAGGATTCAATTTGTTGGAAACACAGAGAACCGGTATGCTCTTTACCAGTTCCTCTTCTTGTCTGACTACCCTTCTGTTTGCCGTGCTTTCTTGAATCTCTTGACTGATGTGACTATGGCCCTTAGAGCTTCATACTTCTTGTATGATGTGATGCATCCCATTATATGAATGCTCTGTCGTTTGGTTCCCTTGGTTCTTCTTCTTCTTCGTTTTTTTTCTTCTTCTTCTTCTTCTTCTTCTTCTTCTTTGGGATGATGTTGCATATTATTGTGTAGTGGCCCCTTTGTTTTTGACGTGTGGTCACGTCGACAGCCGTTTTGGATGACGTTTCACTCTTTTGGAACCACGTTCTCCCATCCTTCGTCGGAGCAACTTTCACGCTGATTTGAACAGAGACACACGCGTACACGGCGCGTGTTTGTGCTTCTGCGTTTGTGCAACCCAAAGTTGCTGAGAACATTCCGTTTTTCTTTTGAATTCGAGAACACAATTCCGTTTTGGCAATGCCAAGTGTTTGCTGTCCACTCTGCGGATGACCAGAAAAAATGAGTTGCCAAAAAAGATCGTGGTGATGTCGCTTGATTGGTTCTTGGCAAACTCAGTTTTTTGCATGTGGATTTTTTAACTCTTGACGCACTTTCGAGCTCAAGCTTTCGTGGCATGCATTGTTTATAGCCAACAAAAATTTTGACTCATGGAAATGCACCACTTCAGACTGGTAAAGCGACACTGCACTCGGACACTCACTCCAAACACAGCATCGCAAGCGAACCAGTGTATGTCACTAAGAGTATCCTCACTTTTCCGGCTTTGGTGTTTCACTTGATGTCTCCTTGCCGTGCTTACAAGCTCGATGGCAGATGAGCGGAGCAGATCTCCGAGAAGAGACTTTGTGTGGGTAAAGGTGAAGGATGGCAATCCGGTTAGAATCTTGTTGTCCCAGCTGGCAGATCCGAAAGATGTCTTCAATTTGTTGGAGGCGGTGAAGACAAAGGAGAGCCCCAAGTTGGATACTGTAGCCATTGGCGACCTCCAGCTATTCCAGAGCGAAGGGGCGAAAGCAAATGGTGAGCGATGCCTTCGTCCTGACCTTCTCATCGGCGAGGTCAACGGCGGAAACAAGGCCGACAACCCGCTCTACATCTTCTTCCATGGTGCGAGCTCCGGTGAGGCTTCACAGGCACTGGTTGGACAGAGTTTGTTTTTTTGTGTCACTTTCCTCGTTCCAGGGGTTAGCTTCCGGGTAAAGCCTTCAGACAGTCTCAGTTTGCTGCGGCAATATGGATGACCCAAGATTTCAACCATGAAAAGCATCAGATGATGAAACTTCATAATGAATATTGGATATTGTTTTTTGCAAAAACACGAGGAAAAGAACAGTCAAAAGGATTAAAAGAAGAGACAATGTCCACAGGAAACCAAGCACTGCCACAGCTTCCGAAATGGCCTTGGAAGAGCAACATAACGGCAAAGACCGGAAACGAAGCAAGAAGCAAAGCAAAGCAAATGATAATGCAACAAAAAAGACAGACATAAGAAGAAGAAGAAGAAGGAGAAGAAGAGGGAAAGAACAATGAAGTAGAAAGAGACAAGAGAGAAGTTGAAAAGAGAGCAAAGAAACAGAAGAAGAGAAGAAGAAGAAGGAGGAGAAGAACAAGGCGAAGAAGAACGAAAGGAGAAGAAGGAGAACACGGAACGAACAGAAAGAACCAGAGTGTAAGACATAGAAGGACAGCAAAATTGACGTAGTGCAAACAAGAAGGAGATGGAACAACATGTGCAACAAACTGTGAGAATCTCCGAAACATTTTCACTAGTGCTCATGTATAGGATGACACGCACAAAACGTGATGTGAAGTGTAACAAGTTATCATGGATGAGCACATCAACATGATCCTGGTTCAAAGGAAAAGGTACGCAGTTAGCCTTTTCGCTTCGCATGGTAGCGGAGCTCTGAGAGCTCTTTCTGCCTTTGCTCATCTCGTTCTGACAAGTGTGGACGATTTTGATTGACCTTGGTGGATCATCAATCAACACTGGATTTGCTGCATACAGGATTTTGGTTCTGGAGCATTTCAGGGATTGGTAGACTTTGGATTCAACTGGATTGTCAGTGGTTGTGCAGTTTGGTGGTTGGCTGAACGGAGTGAAATGAGTTTCGATCCTGCAATATTCCAAGCGGCTTTGCTAGAAGTGGCAGAAGCTACGAAGGCAGCTTCAACAGCTGCTCAGGCGATTCAGGCATCAACAGCTTCGTTGATCCCTACGACACCAGCAGGAGGAAGTTCAGGTGCGAATGTGGACTGGTCCAAGTTGATCAACAAGCCTCCACTTTTGGAAGGAAAATCCATAGAAGACGAGATCAAGCAGTATCGGGATTGGTCATGGCAATTGGTGCAGTATCTGAATGCCATTGATCCTGGTTTTGAAGCTGAAGTACAGCAGATAATGGATGACCCGACGAAAGCCCTAGATATGACGACAGCCAGCTTAGAGACGAGGACGAGATCTTCGAAGCTTTACAGCCTGCTGGCAAGCTTGTGCAGGAACAGGAGCCTAAGTGTGGTGAAGTCAGTCATGAAGGCTGATGGATTCGAAGCTTTGAGGCAGTTGACCTTGACTATGAGGCCATCTACGAGTGGTCGTGGTCTTGCATTGATGGCGGCTTTGACCTCATGGCCAACCTTCAACATGCAACAAGGTCTTCAAGCCCAAGTTCTCAAGTTGGATGAAGCCTTGCTTGAAGCAAAACGTGCTGGCTCATCGATCCCAGACCAGCTGCAACAAGCCATTCTGCTCAAGTGCGTGAGCGGTCAACTGAGGACACATCTCAACCTCCATGTTCAGGAAGCCACTACGTTTCCTGAACTCCGTGAACAAGTGCTCAAATGGGATAGAGCCCAGCAAAAGTGGAATGGCCTGATCTTTGCGGAAGATTCTTCAGGAGCAGCTCCCATGGAAATCGACAGAGTTTGGTCGTATGGCAATGACAAAGGATGGAGCTCTGGCAAGAAGGGTTCAAAGGGCAAGCAGAAGGGTCCAAAAGGCCCACCCAAAGGCAAGTCCAAAGGAAAGAATTCGAAAGGGAAAGACGGACGAGATGGAAAAGGCAAGAAGGGTGACAAAGGCAAGGGCTATGTAAAGCCTGATGACAGATCCAAGGGCAAAGGCAAAGGAGATAGAAAGTGTTTCACATGTGGCCAGTATGGGCATTTTGCCAAAGAGTGCTGGCATTCAGGAATCCGACAGGTGCAGAACGATCAGACACCGATCATCCCACAAGCTCAGTCATCACCGAGCTCAACGACAGGAAGCTACTCTCAGTTGACAAGTGCTTCTCAGCAGACCAATTCGTTCCAACCTCAGCAACCTGCTCAGGCCACTCAATACAGAGTAGCAAGAATTCAAGAATATCTGGATGTGGAACCACATGACAGGTTTGTTTTTGACTTGAGGGCCAGCAGTCCATGCAGTTCCAATGGATCGGTGCGAGTAATGCGATACTACATTGGTGATTCAGATGATGAGAGACCCCATGGTGGTCATGTCCGTGTCATGCTGGAGGAGATTGAGTATGACCAGGACCTTCAGACAATCTTGCTTGACAGTGGAGCAGATGCAGCAGTGTTCCCTTCTAGCATGCTTGACCTTGGGACAACATCAACCTCGGCTGTAACTAAGTTACATGATGCCCAAGGATGTGAAATTCCAGTTCTGGCCATGCGTGATGTTGAAGTCCATCTCATGGATGAATGTGGTCGGAATGTGATTTTAAGAGAAACAGTGGCAGTCTCGGACCAGGTGTCCCAACCCATACTCTGTTTTGGAAGGTTGTTAGAATGTGGCTGGGGCATTGATGGTCGACAGCAAGCCCTAGTTGGAGGAGTGACAATCCCGGTTGAGTTGCAGAACAGATCGATGACAGTGAAGGGCCTCATCAGAGTCATCAAATGCAGTGATGCGGTTCAGAATGAAAATCATGTTCGTGCAGTTCGAGCTGAAGTGATGCGAGAGTTGGAAGTAGGTCCAATAGGCTGGAATCTGGACAGATCGGGATGTGGAGTTGGACGCCACTTTGCAGCAGCACATCAAGATCCAACACTGGCAAGGCCTGAAATGACAGGATCCAAGTTCAGGACAACACTGGTGAAGGGTGACAATGGACACTGGTACATTTCAGAGCTTTGTGAGCCTCTTGACACGATGGCAGATCTGAATTCGACATTACATGAGTTTGATGGCAATCGAAATGTGATCACGATCATCAGTGATGCTGAGAAAGCCCCAGAGCTTCTTGGTTTCAGGTTTGCAGAAGATGATCCAGAAATTGATGATCATGCCCACGCACATGATGTGGACATTGGTGATGAAGGTTTACTGGCACCCGAAGATGAAGATACAGGGCCAGGTGTTGAAGTTGGAGATGTTCACCAAGGAGGAGCTGAAATCCCAGTTGGACATCTAGCAGAAGCTGCAAGGAATGTTGATTCGATCAATGTGAATGGTGTTGATCTCACTCGTGACAGTGCACTCAACAACTTGAGAGATGCGTGTGGATACTACAAACTATCAACATCAGGATCAAAGGCGAGATGCTTTTCAAGACTTCTGGAACATGCAAAGAAACTGGAGTTGCAAGTTATTCTGGCTGCAGCTCGTGCAGCAGAACAAGAAGCCCTGCGAGTTCCACGAGCTCCTCACCTTGCTGAACCACCAGATCTTGAAACCCAGGAGAAACATGCATTGACGCATGTGCCGTACCAGCCTTGGTGTGAGAGCTGTGTTGCTTTTCGTGCTCGCCAAGACAGACACATCAGGGAGGACATCACAAAGAGAGCAGACACACCCACAGTGTCATTCGACTTGTTCTTCACGAGAGCAAGAATGCCAGGGGGAACCAACTCCAAAACTTGCAGCAATTTGCACTAATAGATCATCAAAATAGTACGCACTGTTGTCGCTGCTGTCGTTGACTCCCGTCCCGCTTCAGCATCTGAAACCGTATGTTGGACATATGGTATCTATCAGTCTGCAGGTGTGCCTGATAGCCAGACTTCTCGACAATTCTCAAATACCTGAGAGAGACTTCTCATGACATTGATGCGAAAAAATAGAACAAAATGCGTGAAAATGCCTGATCCTTGAGCAAATCCTGAATGCTGAAAGGTATTGAAAAAATGTTTGGAAGCAGGCTGCTTTTCACTCCCTGCCTGACAGTGACGTGACACAGTGAAGTAAGGGATCTCCAACTTCACAGACATTGGCGCCTCGACTCACTGATCACACCTTTACACTTCTCAAGTGTAAGACCAAAACGGACACAAAAATAGACTCATCTAGAAAACAATACAAATCAAATTTGTCGACGTCGACCCATCTTACAGGTCCCTGCTCGCTCCCTGCTGGCTGCCTTCATGTAGGCATCTGGGTTCTCTGCACCCACACAGATGGCAGTCCAAAATTCGCAGCGCTTAAGTCTTTTTGACCTCCAAAAAATGCCACGCTTTAGGATTTTGCTTTCAAGCTCAGTCCCTGCTATGCTTCGGGCCCTGAACCTGATTGATGTTCCAGACGATGCAATCCTGTGCAGTCAACAAACGCTGAGAAGAGAGCAGCGAGAGCAGAGAGAGCAGAGAGAGCAGAGAGAGGAGAGCAGAAAACGTCAAGGAATCATGTGTACCTCAACAAAGAAGGTGCATCCCAGCGCATCATCTCTCAGATCTTTCATTCCCTGGCACGTCCCGATGTTTCAAACAAAGGGTGCTCGGCAGAACGACAAGTTGTCAAGGTTGGCTGTAAGCGACTCCCTCAGCAACTCCTCTTTTTTCCATCCCAAAGAAGGAATGCTTTCAGCATATCATTTCTTCTGCACCGATGCATCACTTCAACACGTCCGTGTGGCTACAAGATCAATAGATGTCTCAGCAGATTACTCGAAGATCAAAAACAAAGACGAACATCTAGAGATAACCAGGTGAGCATCAAGTAGATCACAAGTATCATATGATACTCATTTTTACAATGATGACGGGTACCATTGCATTCTGATCCAATGTCCTGCCATCTGAAGGCACCACCCAGGCATTATGAAGGCGTTGTTTTGTAGTTTGTTTTGTAGTTTGTTTGATTTGTTTGGAGATTTGATGGTGTTGTTGTCCTACTAGAAATGATCTGCCATTGATTGGATTTGCAAATCTTGCCAAGCATGCCAACAAGCATGCCGACAAAAACGCCCTCCGCGCCAAGGCCAATTTGAAATCCAAATTCTTATTGAAGTCGTTCTTCTACACAGCGCCTTTCTTAATCGCCTGCTGGCATCTGAAGGCAGGGAATGTTTTTGGGCGCCTATGCACATTCAAACTCATAGCCGCTCACAGCCGTTTTTCTCAGAAATGTTCCTTCTCTTCAACATGGCCGCATCGGTCACATCTCTTTGCTCATCGTTGAAATCTGAGAAGATGGCGTTCTTTGGGATCTTACCCTTTAGGTAGACGATCCGCTTGAGCATGTTCTCCGCATGAACTCTTTGGAGCAAAAAGCGAAAGAATCATCACATGAGCCTAGAATGAGCACCAGAGCGAAAAAACCAAAATCGCTCAATGGGACGGCAATGTCCTTTAAGTGTCATTTAGATCCTGCTTAAACATCGTCAAATCAAGTCATTGGAGATAACAAATAGGAAACCAACAAGACCTTCAGAAAATGAACGGCAAACATATGAAGACATCTTGTCAAAATGCATTGCAAATCTTGCTAAGTACTTCCAGTTGGAATGTTCTTCCAGAACTCTGAAATACAGCTGATGATGCTCTCGGAAGAATGATCTTCTTGATACTCATTGGCGCTTACTCATGCCCAATTGATACTCACCGCTGGTCATGAATACTCAGTGATGCTCATTGCTACTCAATGGTGCACGTTGATGTTCATTCAGCAAAACTGACACTCAACGAAACCCGGCGACGCTCAAGGATACAAAGTGACGCTCCTTGATACTTAGCAATACCCAGTGATACTGAGTGATCTTTGTTGATACTCAGTGGTACTCAAAAATGCTCACTGATACCGGGCGATACGCAAGTTGATACTCGCTGTCAGTAATTCTCAGCGACGCTCAGTTGTAACTACCCATTGATGATCATTGATACTGAGCGGTACTTGCTTCCCTGTCTTTGACTAAGCTACTGGCATTGTTGGTCTTCCCCTGGCAGGTGAGAACCCAGAGTGCCTAAATCCTAGTCTGAGATTTTGTCAATTTTGCATCTTTCTATGTTAAGTTTTAGATTTTCATTCTGCTTCTCGAAAAAATTGTTAATGAAATCGTGGAAGATCTTCTTTGCCATTCAGGTGCACAACCCGCCTGGAGTAGTGTCTTTCACTGTGAAGCAAGTGCCCACACGTCCACTGGCACGCCATACCTCCCGCAATTCATGTTTCGTGCTGTCTTGGTCAGATCTGGGATCTTCTTTGCTGCCTGCTTACTTCCTGTCTCTCTGTCCGTGGAAGCAGCTCATCAAATGCCTTGGCACAGATCTGGGTGCCTTCTGAATGCTTGATCCCAGAAAGCAAAATGCAGCAAGGTCAAAGAGTTTACTATGAGATGAGTCAAGCACTGCGCTAGTATATGCTCGAGGGTACTAGGGTTCAGCTTTTCTTAAAGAGCAAGGATAAATCAAGAAGAAACTGGCAACCTTTTGTTTGAAGAAAGTTGCGCAGTGCAGTTCCCAAAAGAGTAAGTTGCCCTACGGAGAAGTTGCTGTTTCCAAAGTTCTAAGCTTTGGGCGATTTTGTGCCAAGATGTCTGGGTTCAAGTCAGAATGACTCACCTCAACCTCATCAGCAGCTCTCACATTACATCGTTACATCATGTTAAATACTTACTGCATTTTGGTACATATGTCTTTCAAATCTTCTCAGAATCTGCACTCCTTCTGTTATCAGTCTCCTGGAAACTCTAGCATCTAGCAGCCCTGGGCCCACGGCAGCCGCTTTGTAAAGGCTTTCACCTCTGGCACTGATCGCTACATCTCAAGGTTCCCCAAGGATCGCTGGACATCCTGAAATGAACATAAATCATGAGGTTTTCATACTTCACTTTTTCCACATATCTCTACCACACTCTCAGGCTCGATCATGCATCCTAGAATGTGGGCTTCCTTTAACTTCATTTCTCTACTTTATTCTCTGAGATGCCAAGACACAAACTGCCTTTGCCTGTTGCAAATATCCCAAAAACAATCTGGTTTTGATGTCATGCCTTGTATGTCACGTCAAAGTTTGTTCAACATCAATATATTTTCATGTACAACATGATTTATACATTCATATCTTTACCTAAATCTTTGTGTTCACTTTGCGTTGCCTTTCGCTCTTTGCATGTGATGTTGCTGCTCATCCCAGGTCGTGCATTCGTGCAGCGAACAAGCTCGATGCTGAGCATGACCAGCCCTCTAATAGACACCCACAATTCTTCAACCATCCTTCAACGACAAGCTACATCAAGCTACTACGGGCGACGACAATGCGACTGGCAAACGTATCACTAGCTTGTTGGCTGTAAACGCATGTTGGCTTGTTGGCTGTAAACGCATGTTGGCGGGTTGGCTGTGAACGAGGTCTCTCGCAAGGCTAAGCACATTCCAAATCACTCCAATAGAGCCATGTTCATGCAGTGAGACTCCAGAATGATGCTTTTAAATTTCTTATTGTCTACAGCATCTAAAAAAAACAAGTTGTAAAGACATGCAACCACACTCGCATTTCCAAAAACCTCAAAAAACTTCTAGACTGACAAGTGAGCCTTCCACAAAGGGACTGAATGAACGAAATTGGCTAGCGAGGTGATGGCGCGCACGAAAACGCGCAGGACATAAGTGGAACCAAAACGGCCACAATGCAGCTGTTTCCGTGCTCTTGCAGATTTCTCGAATGAATACTTCATCACCATCAGGAGGTTCTCAAAACTCATGTGCACCTTCAATGTGGCAAATGATTTTGGCAAAGTCCGGGGCATAGCAATGCTGGCATGGGATTGTAGAGAAACCTGGCGTGGAAGCGACTTCACACACAATTTTGAACTCACTGCAGTGAAACGACGAGCTGCATTAAATGCCCGTCCAGCATACAAGCCGTAGTATGCCTCAAACTGCTCTTCGGACACAAATACAACATGAATGTTCTTGCTAGTTGGTGCCTTGTCGCAGGTGTTCCGCAGCAGAACCAGGATGTCCCCCCTGTCGCATGCTTTTTTGAACTCGTCTTCCAAAAGGGCTGCTGCCTGCCCATGCTTCATTTGCAAACACTCAGAGATGGTCACTTTCTTGCCATCAGAATTCACTTGTTCCAACATCACGAATGCATCAGCAGCTGGAGCCCCCGTCGCATTCAGAAGAAGGGTGGTTTTGTCAGTCATTGTAACCGTGATCTCCTTTCCATCCTGGACAGCCTTGCACTGGTGAGCCCGGA